GTACTTTATGAGCTTTCGTTTATCCGTATGGATGTTGTGTTCGTTCGAGGAGAGCCGTTCTCCGCACAGGTGAAAGAGGACGGCTAGGCCAGTGCTTGCCACGCCTCCTAATGCGTTTCTAAACTGCCAACCAATCGAACATGACAGTTTAAGCTGCTTAGCGAATTTAACACTATCACAACAATGACACAGTGACAAGACGATGATGACGTTGGTTTATTTGTTTCAGCGCCACACCTTCTTGACTCAAAGGGCAGCGTAGCCAGCAGCAGTCTGCTGCCGGAAGCAAGCAACCCGTCGACGGTGTTCGACATCGCGTCGATGATCCTCTACGGTACCCAGGCCATCCCCGTCCAGCTGAAGATCCTGTTCGACCGCGTCATGTCGTCGTTCGACAACGACAGTCGGCTGGCGATCCTCAGTGCCTTCGGCTGGACACCCGAGGACTACAGCCGAGGGTACAAGTTACAGGTAAGAACGAGCGCTCACTTAACAGCGCACACGAGCTTGATGTTGTGAAAAGTTTGTCTTCGACACCACGCTTCGCTGTAACAGACACATGAGCAATGAATCAGGGACAGACAGACATCAAGAGACACGTTTACTTCGCCAAAGGAGCAGACGGAACAGCCATCAGGCACAGGTAAGGAATCCTGAACAAACTGTAGGATGATTTCGAGCACTAGTTTGGATTCTGTATTCCGTTGTGTCTGAGAGACACGGATTCGGTGGATATGAGCACCGTCAGATGACTGATGCCATAGCCTGTAGCTTACTGCCAAAGTTTCTGCCAAACAAGTTCGGCCCTGAATATCACTTTGGCTGGAAAGTCTTTAAAGTCAGTTAAGTGTGTAGTCATTCTCTAATCCTTTCTACGTCATGTCAGATCTGACGAGATCTTCCCATCTTGTTGGAGGTTCATTCTCTCCTCCACTAGCCGTCAAGCATTGCCTTTCGCTAGGTGACTATCGTCCATTCGCTGACAGTGACCCCACAGTCTTAGACGCTTTATTTACAGGCAAGCGATAACTTTTGTTTCATACCTGTGTCTCTATTATGAGAGCATTTATCACCTGGTTTGCCATTTATTAATAATATTGATAGTTAAATCTTTATTTCCGTCGATTTCAATTTTGGAATTCTATTTTTGCCTTTGTTATGCGCTTTCAGTTTCAAGCCATAGAGCAACATGCTGAAAACGCAAGCCGTGCATATCCGCAGCATTTTTTTTGCCAGTGTCCTTGTAGCGCGTGAATAAATTGTCCCTGATTGCTAATGCCGATGCACAGTACCTTTTAACTTTCTTTGACACTTGTCCGTCTGCATCAATGTACTTCTAAGATACAGATGTTCTGGTAACTTTACACAACTTCAGTGTTGAGGGTCGGTCACTCTTTGGCCTCGGTTCCACTAATTGCCATCCACTTCGCCTTCTTTAAATCACTCAAGAAATCCGGATCAGAGCACCTCTGTTTTTGGGTTCAGAACGATGATGCTACAGCTCTGGGGTTACCTGCTGGCGGTGCGATGTCGCTCGCAAGTGTTTGAAAATTGACGCCGATGTTGCTCACTCTTGCCATTGTAACTTTATCATTCAAATTGGCTGGAGCATCCAATCTAGAAATATTATAAACTGAAGAGGAAATTCCGATCCTTGATTTATTCAGAAGTTTGTAGGAAAGAACCGATTGAATCTGGTGTCATTTATTTTTGCAAGCATTGCAAAATGGGTGTTTCGTTTTTCGCGGATTTTGCATGAGAGGAACTACGTATTTTGCACCAGTCACGGCTACGAATCGACGTGTTTCAATTCAGCGATGCCGTCTGAACATGCCATCCACTGCGTGCACTAAATTAATGTGGAACCTAAGAGTTCTGTCTCTCTATGCATCTAGATGAGGAGGGGAGGATTTCCTATCTGTGAGGTGCATTACATTGGAATTTATTTTTAATCATTAGGTAAAGATATTTACACGCTGTTTGGAGGAAATAAAAATTCCACATCACTAATTTTACTGTACGTGAAACGATGTATAGAAATCTGAAAAACTACGCGCTGATCAACGTCTTGCCTTGCCGAGTACGTAAACAATCTTCACAAGTATTTTGACTGTTGTGGACAGGAACTTCACCTGTAACCGGTTCCGACTACAGGATCTACCTTTCACAGTGACAATGGATGTTGCAAAGGTGGAATGGAACAACAGAGGCTTGAGGATTACCTTTCCGTGATTACCACTATATTTTTACCGCTATATAGAGGACTGCAACAAACTGTGTCTAATGAACGCTTAAATGAGCATCAGCGAGGGCAGATATGCAGATTTTGCCATTGCCGTCGACTGTCGTTCTAAGTCTATGTCAGGCCGGATAGCAATTGGACGGAAAGCAAACGCAGGAGCCCTTCAGCGGGATATTTATGGACTCACTGAATGCAGAAGTAAACATGTATGAAATGTACACAGGATTGGGCAAAGAGAAAAGGAAGAAGTTGAGGAAAGACTTCGACGGTTACAGGAGGATGTGACTAAGGAAAGCCGCGTGGTGAAAGAAAATCGTGCAAACGGCTGAACGAGACATTCGCCAAAAACCACTGATTTGGAAAGACGACGGAGGAACAACGATTACTAATTACAATGCAATCGGGTGATGGCGATCTGCATAAAGTTCTACGAAATCTGTACTCTTTAAACGTAGGCGTGAATCCGAACTTGCCATACGCCGCCGACTCAGAACTTGTTTCCGAAATCACCTGAGACGAGGAATAGCGATCAATCAGAAACACCAAAAATGGCATATGTCCCACCAAAGCCCATATATAATTAGAACATCTTAGAGCAAAGACAGCAAGTCCGTTTAAAGCGTTTTCTAAGCGGGACAAAGCGCCTAGAGTGTGGAGTTCAAGAAGAACATATTTTCTGATGAAAGCAACTCAGAAGACCTCAGAAACGATCGATCGAATTTACTCCTGTCGCAGAGCTGCAGCTTTCACTCGCATCATTCCTTGTCCTCTTCGGAAGTACCTCCAATCTCAAGAAACAAGCCGGAGGGGGGGGGTGGGTCTACTATCGACCATGTACATGGTGAATGTTAAATGCAGAGGATATCGAGTGTCAATCTGCATTTCTTTCATCGACCGCAGGATGGCACTCGGTCAGATCGAATGGCAGGCTATGGTAGACGTCTCGCATGAGCATGGCGTAAACCTTGTTTGCGTCAACCAGATCGAGGAATTGAACACTGGCTGCACGACTGATATCAGGCCTTATAATTAACCATATCGCAAAGCGTTTTATTGCAGTTAGATGCAATGTCACCAGCGTTCCTCGTTGAGGCTTCAGAATCACCCTCTAGTCGGCTATACCGGCTTAACGGTGTATATTTGGTGACGGATATCAGTTGGCGCATTTGTTACTGCATCGTCCTCGCACAAGACATGACGGAACTCAAACAGAAGATTCAGCAGTTGCAAGAAGAACCTCACATCGTTGGTTTAGAGGCTAACCTCTCAAAGGCAAACTGGATGTACTGCTCCGAGGGTTCTATCTGCGCGAGGAATGGCGAGGAACTGGAAGAAGTTGCCAGATAGATCGCATGAACGGAGAAAAGACGGTAGACGGAAAAATGGCGGAAGGCGGCGTCGGCCAGCTTTTGTCGTACTGTGAAGCGTCATTACTCGACAGTTTGCTGCCGATGATGGGGAAGATAGAACTGTTCGATTCAACAGTCATACGTGGCATGATCCACGGCGCTGGATGATGGCCTGATAGCAAAGCTAAGGAAAACAAACTGATGGTCAACAAAAAGCGAGGGATCGAAGGTTGTGCAAGTTCTTTCATTGGAACGACATTCGAAGTGTACAAGCTCGACGACGAACTGTA